AGTGACCTGTTCCGAGTGCCAAATTGCTCAAAATTCCGAGGAGAGCTGGACAAAATGAGGTTGCGGTAGATTAGAATTTAAACAAAAATGAAGCTCAGCTCCCTTACAGCGGCTTTCTCCAGACGCATCTTCTTGCCACGTTCATTTTTTGCCGATTTTGCGATCGAATGATAGAGTCTGTCGAATTTGTCGTGCTCGCTAGCAGCTGTTGCTGATTGCTCGGAAGTCTTCGGGATATCCCGGGCCCCGTCCTCATCGGCCATCTTTTTTGATGCGCGTCCCATTTTGGAACAGTAAATTTGCTCTGCAAAAACTAAACCATGCAAATGAGTCCTGGAAACTAATATTTACACGCTTACCTCTCATTTCTTCCCCCACTCCCCCTCCCCCCCACATCTACCCCTCGCGGACTCGAATTCTCAAAATGGAGGCTCAGGTCCACGTGGTTCTCACGTAGGGGCACGTGAAAGCTTTTTTGGCGAGAAGGCGTTTTCGGGAAAGGCCCAAGCCAGAAGACTGGAACTTTACAGAGATGTTCCTTGGCCGCGTCTAATCCAAATATTTCATCTCCAATCATCGCTGCAACTTAATCTTGGGCAACTGCACTGCTCACTCAAACATTACGATGAGGAAAAACGAAGGTACAATTCTCTCAAAGTTCATTTTTTCCCGGATATTCCAGCACAGAAATGTAATAAGAAGAGAAAGGCGGGGTGGGGGAGGAGAAAAACGTATGTAAAACAAAGCAATTGTAGGACGCTGGAATGAAACTGTAATGAAATAGCAAACCAGAAGGACTGTACACAGATATCACATGTGTAAGGTGATATTTTACCGTGCAAACTTGTCTTTCATCGTTTAGACGTAATAGTAGTAGTAAGGTGATATTTTACGATGCAGTCTGTCTCTGTGTGTTTCATCCCTTAGCTGTAAACACAAACCGGACTATGCGTGTGGGTGGGAGTGGGAATCGTCAGAGTACAGCCTCCTACACGCCATGTATTGAAAGGACCTGTAACTAATTTGCAAGACGGATATGTGAAAGAAAAAGAAAGAGAAAGAGAGGAAGTATTCATCGACCTAAATGGGCCAAGCTAACAATCATCCAACATCCATTGTTTAAAAAAAGCTGAAATTTGAAGCAGGTGGAATCGAAGGGATGTAAAAAAAAAAAGTGGGGTGTGGGAGGAGATTGTTAAAAAGCAAATGTATTTAAAAAATCTATAAGACATGTCAATTTGCCATTGTAAGCAGCGTAATGTATGCAGCAGGCCTGTCTGTGGTTCAAGGAGGATTGGACGCGTAAAATATCAAGGCCTCACTGAGGAGGTATTCAAGCAAACCCCACTCCCCGGCCCCCTTCTTGGCCTCCCTACCTCGAAAAAAAATCAAAAAAACCTTCCCGAAACACCACTAAAATCACTCGCATAGCCAAAACTTGGCACCGGTCCAAGGATTCCAGGAGCTGAGGACAGAACGAAAACGTCATTGCAGGACCACATTTTCGCGAATTTGTCACATACGGAGAATGGGGACGGGGTACGCACACTACACACAGATGTATACACACTGCACACACACATGCACACAAATCACATGTGCACATACACATAAAATCGCACACAGTCACACGCATTTACAGACACAAATACACACACGCGTCTGCACATAGACACGTGTACAGACGCGTGCGAATTCTCACGCACGTGTGGACACTCGTATGCGTACAAATACATAAAGATACAAAGACGGGGA